AAACCAATTGTTGCCTGAGATAATATTATAGTTGCTTCACCCTAAACTTGAAATTTTCTTGCTGTTTATGCAGTACTTACTTCAAAAGCTCTGCTTAACTTGACAAGGGTGCTTCTAAATTACTTTTTTAGCCGCTTTTTATGCTGCGTTTTTAATAGGTACAATTCGTACTTCAATCAACAGTTAATCATCATTTTCAAACACAAAGTTTTCTATATAAGAATTCCAGTGAATGGTATTGATGTTTGAGATTTTTAGTAAACCCCCAACCGATATCGGCATCTTTCGGTCTTTTATTATAACTGTGTAATGCTTCCATTTCGCATAACTTGAGCTAAATTAAGAACATTTAGCTGGTTTCAATGTCCTACCGCTTCTGCTGCTTTTGCTCACCTGCTTCTCCAGTATATAAAAAACCTCTAAGAGAAACATGCATAACTGTTCAATATTTTATGTCCAAGCAAGTGAAAACGTAAGCCGTCAGAAAACTATTGCTCTTCCAAAAGCAAACTGTACTCAGTTACTTTATTATTAGAGGTCAAAAATTTATCACATTTCTTAAAAAATACACTGTAAAATTGCTACTCAAGCTTATGAAGAATTTGTGAATCAAATGTGATTATGCATGTCGTGACCACCAGCAAGATTTTTGAAATCAGGAAAACATATACAGCAGCGTTTGCTTCATGCGTTTCTATGGAAAACCTTCTTCATTTCGCTTCTGTAAGAAAAAATTAGGCGCTTACTGTCTTACAAAGGCCCTCCAGGACAGCTTTGACGTGGGTAAACCTGATAACAGCCTGACGATTTCTAAGCACGCAATCTGCTTCCTGAGAACAATGCAGGATCTGACTCAAACGTGCAGTTCAATCACCTTTTGGCAGCTGTTTGGCAGTTCCTTAGCTTATTTATGAAAATTCACCACTTACGATACTGGAAAGAAGGCGAATACGAAATCCAGCAAACGAACGCTGGACAAGTTCAGCCAGTTATAAAAATGCAAGGAAACATGTCAAACAAATTTAACCTCAACACGAAGCTACACCTACCAGTGGCTGGGCACTTTTTATAATAAAAAAAAGCAGATTTTACAAATCTCTCATGACGCAAGGAAAATTTTGACCGTAGTTAAGTTTACAACGTAAGTCCAAGCAGTAATGGAGACAGTGAAGGAAAACTTATAATTTCAAGCAGTTGACGATGCTTCTCTTACTGGCCTCGGGCGGCATTAACTTCTAGTTGGCCCCCAAAAACGTCGTTTTGAAATCATTCCAGCGTGCATGCATCAAGGACTGCAAGTAGTCAAATGCTTTCTACTTTTTTGTTTTGAGAATACTGTCTAGTAATGTGGACTCTATTCACCAAATGATTGTACAAGCGAAATGTTCCCATTTGTGGTATAAGGAAAAGTTGAAGACAAGTCATAATCGGATGCGTTTTATTGCCGGTAGAATCAGCTTGTACAGAAAAGCGCGCAACCAGCTTTACTTTTTCAACTCCTCTCGATACTTTTCAGCTCCTCACTGTTCTGGTTCATCAAGAAATAGAGAAAAGTAGTGTACATCAAGTAAAATTGTGGAAATAAAAATTGTAACAATTAGTACCAGTTTCTGTAAATTACTCTCCGTTTGTTTACTTATGAGCAGCATTTCCCATCTTCATCAGTCATCGTCAAGCCACGTAGTTAACCGTCCCTATACAACTTTTATAAAGTGACCAAGAAGATTGTTTTTAGTGAAATCTGAATTTATTAGAAAAAAGAATGCAGGTGCCAAACACCGTGAAAGGTTTTAAAAGGCGCTTTGTTGCTGTCTTCCAACCTTACGAAGAACTTCTAAGCTACCTACTTATAGAAAACAAAGCTTAATCTCTAATAAAGTAATGCTGCGAAAAAATGGTTCAATAGAAAGTAGCATCAGCTATGACCGTTAAAATCTACTTTTAAGCAAAGACTGAGGCAGATGCAAACTACTTCTTTAGCTGGAATTTTGTTTAGGAAGGTAGCTGACAGACTGTGAACCCGAGAATTTGGCAGATTTGTCGCTTAGCCTGAAGAGGATACAGAGCTGTTGCGGAAATTTCAAAAGAAAGAAGAAGGCATAAACTGCTGTATAACGAGGATGAAAAAGCAGCTGCAAAGAGTTGAAATAAAGCGGTTGGTGTTAAACAACAAATAGCCGATGCCTTCTTAAAAAAGTCAAAATAGAAAAAGTTAATTTTAGCTGCAGGGTTTCCAGGAAATGCTTGTCTGAGTCAGCTTAATTACATTAAGACAATCAGATTGCAATAATTAGTGACTCAAGTCGAGCATCTTACATTAAATTATTTACAGTACGACCGGTCAATATGTGCAAAAAATGCGACAGACTGAAACATGCAGGTATAAGCGCATGAAAAATTCCAATTGTTTGTCTCATACTCGTTAAAGACTAAAAAAAAGAAAAATAAATTGTTTTATCCTTAAAACCAAACCAAAATTCAACCTTTTTCAAACTTTTTCATGTACTGCGCCGTATTCAATAACAGTTTTATCAGCAACGTACGCAAATCTTTTAAAATTCACATACGTAGTCAACCAAACAGCAGAAAAGCAACAAAACTGCACCAGCAGAGTATGCAACGGAACAAAGAAACAACAGAAAGTTACAATAAGGTGGCTAGCGTTTAGACAAAAATACAACATGAATCTATAGAATAGTTAAAATACACAAGCCTAACAATTATTTTTTAGGTATAATCTTACAGTTCTATAGAAAAACGGTGGTAAGCGTTTCAAATAACAGAAAATAAACGT